GCTTTTTCACATCTGATATTGGCATGTCAAATATGAAATCAAGCGCCGAGGTGGGAACACATAGCGCCGAGGTCCCAAGTGAAGCGCCGAGATTCACAGGTATAGCGCCGCGGACCTCGGCGCTAAAAAGCCCTGGGGAGAACCCTGGACCAACTCATCAACCCACACCCAGTCCATTCACAGACCAACTCACCAACCCACACCCAGTCCATTCACAGACCAACTCATCAACTTACACTCAGTCCATTCACAGACCAACTCATCAACTCACACCCAGTCCATTCACAGACCAACTCATCAACCCACACTCAGTCCATTCACAGACCAACTCATCAACCCACACCCAGTCCATTCAGACCAACTCATCAACTCACACCCAGTCCATTCACAGACCAACTCATCAACCCACACCCAGTCCATTCACAGACCAACTCACCAACCCACACCCAGTCCATTCACAGACCAACTCACCAACCCACACCCAGTCCATTCACAGACCAACTCATCAACCCACACACCCAGCAACCCATAAATCAATGTAAAAACAATTTCCTTACTTACCACAGTTCTATAATTAACCTGTAATATTTCATCTCCTTGATGAACTTTTCGACTTAAATCTGCTGCTGATTGTTCTTTTGTTCCTGTGATAATGTGTTCCCCTTCATAAGTAGCTTTAATTAACAAACCCTAGAATTCAATTGATAAAACTAAATGTACAGTAGTTGAATCTGAAATATAAAGTAAGGGAATATCACAGTATTCTTAGTCACCCATTTGTCACATGAATTGTTCCTGTGGCAGGAGTGAGTTAATATTTACTTACCAGACCTTCTTCTGGTTTAATCTTTTTTAACGTCACCAATTCTAAATGTGCTGGTTGTATCACCAGTGGGTCTTTGGTGTCTTTTATCAATTTATTACATAACTCTACAATTTCAATACTCTATCAAAAAAATGAAAAAATTGAATGAGAAATTATTGATTTGCTATAGATATTGTAAACAATGATAATGGTCATTGCATTCAAGAGAAACTAGCACACAATAAAAACACAAGCCATGCATGGCACAGTCACAGTTAGTTATCAAATCTAAGCTATATAGTATTTGACCATATTGAAAGATATTGCTCTCAAACAGCATTATTAAAAAAACAAAATGACCACCGCTAGGTCATTTTAAATTTTGAATCATTAAACCAATACATCTGTATATCTATGACATGATGTATAAAGAATAAATAAAATCTGAACATCAGTCAAAGCACGTCAGAGATATGGCACTAGAACCACATTCAATAAAACAAAATGACGTGCATCAAAGTCTCATAAAGTCCAATGTATGTACTAGTTCCAAGTTTGAGCAAAATCCATCAGCAGGGAAATGCTTGATTTTGAGGATTTTTCAGTACAAAAAATTCAGCCATCTTGAATCAGATCATGAAACAAATTGATGTGCATATGTATAATTTTATGTATGAAGTTTGATCAGGCATGTCTAAGATATAGGTCCAGACGCATACACGGACAAACAGAAGCACACATAGAGGTCAAACTATAAGCCCAGTTTTCAGAATGCATCCGAACAGGAATAAAAAATGATTCTACCGATATTTACATACCGGTAGTCCCCATAAATTCATAAGTTCAAGAAATATATGAAATCGGAACATGATTGGTCAGAGAATAAAGGAGATACAGCTTTAAAACCATATTAGTTAAAACAAAATGGCCACCAATTGGTCATTTTGAATGAGACCTGGAAAAACAATTATATTACATGTATTAATGTCAGATGTTTGAACAAAATTTGTCTATACACAACCAAGATCCAGTTCCAGAATGGCCGAAATAGCCTCAATTTGTCCATCTTGACTTGGATCTCAAAATGAATGGAAATGCATATGTATACCAAGATGCATGTGTGAAGTTTGAATGGAATTGATCCAGGCATATTCGAGACATAGATACACACACAAAGGTCAAAACTTAAGTCATATTTTCGGACTAACAGGGACTAAAAATGACATGCACCTGTAACACAACAAAGTCATGTCATGACATGACAGCATTTCCCCCTGATTTAATACTAAAAACTCAAATGATAATATGTGTGTCATGGTGCTTAATGAATTTGTAAAGTTTGATTACAATCAGTCAAGGCATGTCAGAGATCAGGGATTGCGCTAACCCCATTTCAAGCAAGCTGGGGTCCAATCTCTAATAAGGTTATTCAGGATAAAATTTGTATTTCTTAAAATTTTGTAAGTGGGACTCGTCTTGCAGAGACACTAGCGCAAACCCTGAGAGATTATTGCTTATTTAGAACAGAATTTGTTAAATAGTGATCCCTCAATGAATGTGAGTGTTGGGATCCAAGCAATAAAAACATGACTTATCAAAGACTGACTTATTAAGGACAGACAGACTGGATAAGTTTCACCTAGACATGCTGCTCATTTGTAAACTATAGATCAGAATAATGAATTGTTAACATTGAAGTAAAGTTTTATCAAAGCAGTACCGACCAAGAATTGCATAAATTCACAATTTGACACCTTCAGCTGAGCAGAAAACACCTTTCGTATCCAAGTAATCGATGGGCAATTGGTGTTAAATGCAGATGACATTATCATGGTTTGAAAAACACTGATTGTCTCACACCAAGTCTTTAAATGCTAAAAAAGACAATAGGCTATCCATGTGAACTATACCCTTACCAATACACTATATCTACTTACCAATGGCAAGATGGCATTCTCTAAGTCAGTTGCATGGCTATCCATGTGAACCATTTCTGTTAATTGTAAACATTGACTGACAACTGTTTCCCTTGCATTGCTAAAATAGTCTATGCCATAGAAAGGTGTCCTGAAAGCACAAAAATTGAGAAGTGGAGCTGTAATTGAGTCTCACCATGTAACACTATCAAGGACTCAGACAGTTGAATCTAACAACTAAACAAGCAGCCTCTCGGCTGAGATAGCTCCGCTGTTAGCAAAGCACATTTCAATTAACGAACTGAAGATATCATTAGAAAATGAACAGTATGTATAAGTATGTATAGCAATTGGACTTGTTGTTTTCAACAATAATTCAAAAATATCACTTTTTACCAAAAATGACATAAATCTTCATCAAAATTAGATAATTGAAGGAATCATCACAAAATGAACAAATCTGAGAGAGGTCCACATGTAGTACCTATATATGTAATATCAAAGCAATCGGACTTGCGGTTTTTAACAATAAGTCAAAAATATCACTTTTTACCAAAAATAACAAAAATATTCATCAAAATTAGAGAATTGAGGATATCATCACAAAATGAAACAAATCTGAGAAAGGTCCACATGTAGTACCTATATATGTAATATCAAAGCAATTGAACTTTTGGTTTTTAACAAGAACTTGAAAATATCACTTTTTACCAAAAATATTCACCAAAATTAGAGAATTGAAGATATCATAACGAAATGAACAAATCTGAGAAAGGTCCACATGTAGCATCTATATATGCAATATCAAAGCAATTGGACTTGCGGTTTTTAACAAGAAGTCGAAAATGTCACTTTTTACCAAAAATGACAAAAATATTCATCAAAATTAGAGAATTGAAGATATCATTATGAAATGAACAAATCAAAGAGAGGTCTACCCCAGGTACATACACACCAAGTATCAAAGCATTCAGGTTTGTAGTTTTCAAGAAGAAGTCGAAAAAGTAAAACATTGACACGGAATCAAATTGTATAAAATTTAAAAAACAGTTGAACAGGTTTAAATAATCTGTGAAACATTGGATTAATTATCCAATAAAAACCTACTCTGATCCAATTCAGCATTTAAAAAAGGGATTATCGAGCAGAAGCTGAATGTCCCAAGGCGATGGCCAGAGAGAAGTTGTTACATCTCCTACATTAAAAGCTAATTGTTTGATAATTGGATTATAATTAATCCATTGTTTCAAAGATTTAAAGTGCCTGTGCAATGCCCACCTTCACGTTTCCCATTTTAGATCTGTGTCCCACTGAAATGGGCAGTTATTGATTTTTTTGTTGAAAATGATTACTTGTATCCAAGTAAATTTGGGATATTTCTCGTGTTGTAGCCACGCCCACCTATCCCGAAACGGTCGACTGTTTCCGGATTTCCGACTCTCGCCGAAAGTGCGCCACCAAATGCCAAAATGTGAAAGTATTAAAGTCATACCCCTGAGCCGTAATAACACTGGTCATTCAGTATACTTTTAAACGATATATATTTTTCGGTCGGCGTTTTTTTTTTCTACTTTTTTTGTCTATTTTATTTTTTTGAGAGAGAGTTTTTAGATGTTGTGATGTGGGCAGCTGCAGTGAAACGTATAGTCACAGTGTAAGTATTCACACGTTTCTAATCGATCCGAAGGTGCGACATCAGTGGAAGAAAGCCACTTAACCTCAGATTCCTTTTTTTGTGGAAAAACTGTTCTCGTCCATGAAAAAAAACAACTAGGTTTAAAGAGAAACGCCGACAACATAAACCTGGCGCAACACTTTTGAAAGAAATAGATTCCGGACCATGATCACCGAGGCGGATTTCAGAAGAGAGAGAGACGTCCGGCAAGTGTTTCAAATGAGTTGACTTTTTTGCGATCCTGATTATCGTTTTATAGAGACCATTTAGTCCCTGTTAAGTAAAA